TAACGATTAAAAAAAAAATCATAATTTAATAATCGATTTAACAGTTTTGTTCCTAAAGTGTGTGGAGTGCCACGATGTAACCAAGACAGCACGCCACACACTAACTGATTCCATTCATACACAACCCGACTCATGACTGACAAGAAATCTCATGTGGTCAAACGTGACTTTAGAGTAAACAATGGTGGCAAAAATAATATGCCCCATTGAAAGAGATAGTACACCCAAAATCTGATAATATAATCTGTAGAAATAAGTTAATCAGGACTTTACCAAGGATTGTCGGAAGAGGAGAATTCGGCTGAAAATCAGCCGGATTCTCTTATAGTGTGTGCCCCACTTCATGCAATACGAGAAAAAAAAAAAGTATAATACAATACCTGGCATGTGAAATTTTGTTAGCAGGGCTAAACAATGAGATTAAATGGATAAAATATGCAAAAATAAATAAAATAAAAATAAATAACTGGAAGAAAACTAGTTTGTCAAACGTGTTATGTCAACATACCCACTAGAGCCTTGAATTAAGCCTAAAGAAAGCCAAATATAACCACAGTGTAGATATAAACAGAAAAGGAGATTAAAAGGAAATGGAATTACCTTTCCAGAAAAGAATACTGGCTGTATACCCAAACTAAACAGACCAGCATATTACATCAAATTAATTTCCCCTCAGAAACGCAAACAGACAAGGTATAGTGACATTATTTGTTTATTACTAGTCAGATCTAACCCAAGGTCTTTCGTAATGTAGATTGGAATTATGAACACTGTAGTTACATTCAGTTCATCTGAAATATGACAGGTTCTTCACAAACACTCAAAAAATTAAATTGTTCAACACAGCTCTGTTGAAGAGTTGGGAAACACTTTGGAAAAGTTCCAGGCCCTTTCTTGGAAGAAGTATAATACAATACCTGGCATGTGAAATTTTGTTAGCAGGGCTAAGCAATGAGATTAAATGGATAAAATATGCAACAATAAATTAAATAAAAATAAATAACTGGAAGAAAACTAGTTTGTCAAACGTGTTATGTCAACATACCCACTAGAGCCTTGAATTAAGCCTAAAGAAAGCCAAATATAACCACAGTGTAGATATAAACAGAAAAGGAGATTAAAAGGAAATGGAATTACCTTTCCAGAAAAGAATACTGGCTGTATACCCAAACTAAACAGACCAGCATATTACATCAAATTAATTTCCCCTCAGAAACGCAAACAGACAAGGTATAGTGACACTATTTGTTTATTACTAGTCAGATCTAACCCAAGGTCTTTCGTAATGTAGATTGGAATTATGAAAACTGTAGTTACATTCAGTTCATCTGAAATATGACAGGTTCTTCACAAACACTCAAAAAATTAAATTGTTCAACACAGCTCTGTTGAAGAGTTGGGAAACACTTTGGAAAAGTTCCAGGCCCTTTCTTGGAATGTCCAGCATTGGCTTAATCCTTGTTATTTTCCTTAAATTTAGAACATCCATTAATGGTTCATTCACACAACATACACACTTGATATAATACAACAACAAAAAAAGGCCAGGTAATAGTACCAATAGTCCCAAATTTCCATTTGGGAATCTGTTAAAGCTGCTGACCCTGCAGTAATTTAGATATGCCACCAAAAACAAATGTCGTCATTGCACACAATAGCTATACATGATATTTACAATCACATGGGCCTGTTTAACTCCGACCAGTGGACAAACATTCATGTATCTTTGCATATGTGCTCTCAAACTCTTCAAACAGGACAAGTTATGTGGTCAACAAACTCAAAAGACAGGGGAAAAAAATAAATCAAACCCTGCATTAATCACACATACTTTACATTCAGATGACATAAATAGGTCTCTTTTAAGGTGTGCTGGTAGAGTAAGAAAATAACGTGACATGATTGTGCTGTACAGAAGCTCTTGTGCACTGATGTTCTATACAACACTACTATACAAACCTCCAGAGTCTCCACTGCTCTTAAAGGCCTTTAGTGTCTGCTATACAATCCATTATATACAGATCAGACTTCATTTAAAAGCATTAGGTAGAATTCAGACTCCAATTTGAGGGAAATATGGAGGTCAGTTGAAAATGTTGTTCATTATGGCAGACAGAAGAAACAAGATGCAGATGAGTCAATTTTGTGAGCATCCAGAGACTGACGTAAAAGCGATTCCTGACCGCTATTTCATTCTAACAAAACAAATTTAAGCCTTAAGCTTGCATTTAATTAAGCTTGTTGGGTGAAAAAAAAAAAATCACAAAAACATGTCCGGGTCATATTTAACACCAAAAAATAAAAAATATATATTTTTATATATATATATATATATATATATATATATACTAAAGAAAGCCAAATATAACCACAGTGTAGATATAAACAGAAAAGGAGATTAAAAGGAAATGGAATTACCTTTCCAGAAAAGAATACTGGCTGTATACCCAAACTAAACAGACCAGCATATTACATCAAATTAATTTCCCCTCAGAAACGCAAACAGACAAGGTATAGTGACACTATTTGTTTATTACTAGTCAGATCTAACCCAAGGTCTTTCGTAATGTAGATTGGAATTATGAAAACTGTAGTTACATTCAGTTCATCTGAAATATGACAGGTTCTTCACAAACACTCAAAAAATTAAATTGTTCAACACAGCTCTGTTGAAGAGTTGGGAAACACTTTGGAAAAGTTCCAGGCCCTTTCTTGGAATGTCCAGCATTGGCTTAATCCTTGTTATTTTCCTTAAATTTAGAACATCCATTAATGGTTCATTCACACAACATACACACTTGATATAATACAACAACAAAAAAAGGCCAGGTAATAGTACCAATAGTCCCAAATTTCCATTTGGGAATCTGTTAAAGCTGCTGACCCTGCAGTAATTTAGATATGCCACCAAAAACAAATGTCGTCATTGCACACAATAGCTATACATGATATTTACAATCACATGGGCCTGTTTAACTCCGACCAGTGGACAAACATCAAACACACCTGAACAAGCTAATCAAAGACTGAAGGGTTACTAGAAAGCTACAGGCAGGTGAGTTTTAATTAGGGTTGGAGCTGTACTCTGCAGGGCTGCGGCTCTCCAGGACCGGAGTTCGCCACCGCTGATATAGGTCTTTGATTTCATGTCCAGGTCATATTTCACCCCTAAATCAAATGTAGTAGTAGTAATAATAATAATCAAACCATGAAGAAAATATACACCTAATTGTAGGACCATCGTGACTATATGTGAGAAACCATAATAAGAAAGATTATTTTTTTCACATTAAAGGAAAGAAAATCAGATGTTTCGGTAATACAGTAATAAGAACAGGTGATCAAAATGTGCTTAATTGTCAAAAATAATCCATGAAAATCAATCAATGAAAAAAATGGTCTGTGACTTTTTTTTTCACATTACAGGAAAGTGAGTGAGATGTTTTGGTAATACGGTAATGATTATTTGTGGTCAAAATGTGCTTACGTTTCATAAAAATAATGTCAATCAATGCAAATAACAAAAAAAAAAAGCTTAATTTTCTTTGTGCAAAATATAAAATAATATATATATATATATATATATATATATATATTTTAAATACAACCTGGACATGTTCCTGAAACATTAGGAGGATGCGTAAATCAAATCACTGATCATTTCTAGACATATAAAGACATGAATTCATTCAGAAACCAGAGGTAGCATATAAAGATTTGTGTTTCACCACAAGTATTTCTCTCTCTATGATCCAGTTTGTCCAAAAATGCAGTTGCGATGTGAAAAACAGGCTGTTTTCACTAGCTGTTTCCAAGAAGTGTCCACCACAAACCCTTGGACCCACAGACTCGTACAGGCAGACAAACAGTGACCGATCTAAAAGCACTTATGGAACTTAACTTGTGTTCCAATACATTTTTTTTCCCTTGAGGCAATGCATTTTTAGAGGAAAAAAGTATTTTCCTTAAAACTGTCAATTGTCTCATTCCCTGACAGTCACACGTTAAATGAGAGATGGTCTGACTGATATGACTTATCACAATAAACATACAAATAAAAACTTATGATGGGTCTGGAAAACATCAGTGGATTTCGAGAAACTTCCCTCATCTTCTAAAATTGCACTTGATTCAGTTCTCCAATGAAAACTTCTGAAACAAGGCTGAACTAAAACATTTTTATCAGATGAAGTATTAAAACATTTCCAGGAGTTAATTTAAAAACTCAACCCAGTTACCAATTGGAAATGAATATAAATAAATGACAGATGCATCTAATAATTCAAAACAGGAGCAAATTAACCTGTGGAACGCAAATCCTAATGAATTGACCTAATGGAGTGAATCTCATGAAATCGATCAAGAACATGACCAGGTCATATTTCATCCCAAAATAAATTAGATTTGACAAAGAAAATGAAGCCTTTTGTTAGTCCCATTAAGATTTAAGTGTTTTTTTTTTTTTTTTTTGCTGTGACCACTGAGCTAATTTCCCACCCAGTTCTCATTACCATAATGCAAAGAAAGGTGCCATATTTAAAGGGATAGTTCACCCAAAGATGACATTTTTGTCATCATTTACTCACCCTCATGTCGTTCCAACCCTGTAAGAAACACTGGAAGTGAATGGCTACCAGCAACTGACTGGTTACCAACATTCTTCAAAATATCCTTTTTTTCTTCTTTCTGTTGAACAGAAGAAACTCATACAGGTTTGCTACATAATGAGGGTCAGCAAATGATGACAATTTTCATTTTTGGGTGAACTATCCCTTTATATTGAGAAATATCATGCTTAAATTTATTGTACTGATTTTTTGCCAATTTACAAGTAAGAATGTCTTGTATTACACTATTTATATTGCAATACAGTAGAAGTATAAATTAGAGTATGACGGTAAAAAATATTCAAAATGCTAATTATTAATCTCAAAATAAAACATTGACATTGCAGTAATGAGAATGCCGATGTAAAAAAGTATGTATATATGCATGTTTGTGTGTGTGTGTATATATATAATGTTTTGGGATAGATCATGACTCATATTTTCATGATATTCACCCAATAATGACAAAGCAGAAATCATTTGAAGCATTTCTGTTCCTTGTATTTTCTCCTACACTGAGAATTATGGGTTTAGTTTATTAGGTTACGGTTCTATTAGGTTAAAGGGACCGTCTGCAATCATATCACACTGAATCTGAATGAGGCATTTGAAGTTGCTGTAGTCTCACTGTCTTTTGCTGTGGACTATCTCTCTTGTTCGTCAGAGCTGGCCTTATGCCCCGCCTCCTCAGTGGGCGTGTCCAGTACTGGATTAACAAATCCCTCAAAGTCCTCGTCGGCATGGTCACCGCTGTCCTCGGGATGTGCACTTACAAAGTCGTTCTCCCACTCCAAAGCGTTGGAGTCCTCAGAGGTGGGGCCACTGTCCAGCTGTTTCCCGCCGGGACGAAGTGCCGCCCGTAAAATGTCCTCCTCTGTTTTGGAACGCTCCCATGCAGGTCCCATCCGGTTCACTCCTGTATAATGCCACATATCAATTCATTGAATTATGAATTATGTTAACTGCATTTGCTCCGTTAATTCACTACTGAACCATTATGAAGTACATATTAGAAGGATTTCTGAAGGGGCATGTGACACTGGAGTGATGATGCTATAATTCAGCTTTGCATCACAGGAATAAATTACACTTTAAAATATATTACAATAGAAAATAGTTATTTTAAATTGTAATAATATTTTAGAATATTATTGTTTTATACAATAAAACGGTGATAAAACTGCTTTACAAAAACTACAAAGTTTTTCAGTACAAAAATGTCTGAGAACTTCTGAAATCTTCACAATAATGTCTCATTTGTAATATTTAATACAGTAGATAACATGAACTAACAATGAGCAATATATTTTTACAAAATGTATTCATGTTTGTTAAGATTTGTTGAGGTAAAACTTTCCTTGTTTGTTCACATTGCATTGATGTTATAAGACACAAATGCTGATTTTGTAAGTTTATTAATAAATGTTAAAATTTGCATGAACCTGTTTTTTTAGCATCACTGATATACTATTATAGATTTTGTTCATATTTTGAATTATATATTTTTTTAGATATTGTTTTCTCTTTCATTTTAGTTATTAAGTTGTATTAATTTGGTTGTATTCTTGTCATTTTTATTATTTGTCTTTAAATACACACACATATATATACACATATACATACATACATATATATATATATATGTGTGTGTGTGTGTGTGTGTGTTTAAAGACAAATGTGTATATATATATATATATATACATACTTTTTATTAATTGTTATTTATTAGTTTTAGTTATTTTAGTACTTCATGTTAAAATAAACAAAAATGAGAAATTAATGTTTAATTTAATCCAAGTAACAATGTTTGTTTTATTCCAAGTAATAAAAACATTTATTTCTATGGCTTTACGTTTAGTTTTAGTTAACTATAATAACCCTGGCATGAACGAAGATTAATAAATGCTGCAGAAGTGCTGTTCATTGTTAGTTCATGTTAACTAATGTAGTTAACCAATCTTAAATGAAAACATAATGCAAAGTGTTACTAAAATGCTGAAAACAAATGTCTTGCCAGACCTGACTTGGATGTGGCATTTAAAGGCCAACTCTAACTGGCATGTTGTGACTTGACTTCAGCATAATTTGTATAATAAATGATTACTGAATGCAGGAAGCATGTGTTCTGGAGCTTCAGTGAATTCACTCACCCTCCTCATCCTCCCACTCCAGGTCCAGTGAGGTGGCGTCAGTCTTACTGGTGAAGTCCCAGCTGCTCTCTGTGTTTGGGGTCACTACATTCGTCTCAGAGCTGAGTCCTTAACATACAGAAAGAAAAAAAGAAAAGATTTTAGCATTTAGAGATTAATATTGTTTCATTATAAACATTTCATCATAAAAGTATTCTGTAGTATTGTAATTGAAATGTGTTAATGGGAACTCACTGTTACTGCGAAAGGCTTCAGATTGAGCCTTCACACTCTGCAGGTACACCTCAAACTCTGCATCTGACACTTTGCTGCAGAAACACACACACAGTTATATCAGCCGCTGCTATCACCACCATAGCTGCATTTAGAGAGATTGTGGACAGCCTTGTGAACCTCTTACTACAGTAAAACTGTAAAACCCCTAGTACACTTTTTTTGTGAGCTGAACCCCTTCAACATAAAATGTGCACGATTCTCTGGTGTTGGTTAATGGTAACATGACATGAAGATAAACAACTTAATATTTAATCTTTTTTTCAGCAAGGCTTTTGATTGTTATTAGATTTTTTTTTGTTTAGGATTGTTAGTTTTAGGTGGAGGTTTTCATGGAAGCAAGTTAATTTTAGTTGTATATGCATTAAGTGCTGAGTTTATTCACAAGCCGTTGATTAACATTTGACGATGGACCAACGTTAAAAGGGTCATATGATGCGATTTCAAGTTTTCCTTTCTCTTTGGAGTGTTACAAGCGGTTCGTGAATAGATAAGATCTCTAAAGTTGCAAAGACTAAAGTCACAAAGCAAAAGAGATATTCTTTATAAAAGACTCGTCCACGCCCTCCTAAAACGCCTCGTTTAGACACGCCCCCACACGTCTACGTCACGATGACTGTAAGTACGCTTTCATATTTAAAGCATTTGCCACTGATGATTCAAACACGAGTTTTAAGCAGTGTAGAGTAGCGCTTGTTGTTTGTCGTTTCTCCGATCACAAATGCAGACATGGTTTTATGTTTACGCGGCGCGATGCAACGACAGTACAAGTCATTATAATCAGTGCTTACTTATGTCCCCACTGGATGCAACAAATGCCTCGTTTATAATGGGTTTTATTGGTTGTCTTGTTGCGCCAGGCGCTCGTCGATGCCGGGACACAGCATCATATGGTAAGGGGCGTAACATTTCCGTCACACGCTTGAGGTATTCGGCCAATCACAACGCACTGGATAGCTGGCCAATCAGAGCACACCTCGCTTTTCAGAACGATGAGCTTTGTAAAAATGGACGCGTTTCAGAAAGGCGGGGCATAGAGGAGAAAAAATTAATGTACAGTATGTAGAAAATAATGTGTTTTTTAACCTTAAGCCGCATAAACATTTCATTACACCGAATAATGTTATTTTTTTGGCAACGTCATATGACCCCTTTAAGGACCTTCAATCCTGTTTATAACTATTCAATGCATGTCACAATATACAGTGGGTACGGAAAGTATTCAGACCCCCTTAAATTTTTCACTCTTTGTTATATTGCAGCCATTTGCTAAAATCATTTAAGTAAATTTTTTTTCCTCATTAATGTACACACAGCACCCCATATTGACAGAAAAATAAGTACATTTCAAAGATGAGTCTAATTTTAACAAAAAAAAAAAAAACATGATATACAATCCATAACTTACAAACTCAAGCAACTACTCCTGCTTAAATCAGAATGTGTTAGAAATAAATTACACAGAGCTGAAGGCGTATCATAAATGAAAGGGGTGTGGCTGAATGTTAATGGGCGGGGTTAAGAGAAGGGCTGGGCGTGCTCAGTGCGAACGCCTCACCTCCTTTAGCTTTTGTTCCATAGTGAGCCGCGCTGCTTCGCGCTGGGCTGCAAAAACAGCCTCCTCTTCTAGCCTTAACTTCTCCTCTTCTGCCAATAACTGGGCAGAAATCACAACAGAAAGGGAAGATTAACTAAACTCAGAAACAAAAGCAGGGGCGAAAAACCAAAGCAATGGAAAACAACAAATGAAAGCATAAACTTAACGTAAGCTCTAACTTAAAAGTAAACATTGTTTTGTGGCAACATGTTTTGAACTTGACCATTCAAAAGTCACATGACATCGATCCATTTTAGTTTAAAAGCACATGTTTGGCACATTTGATGACCTGCTGTACCTCTGCATTCAGCTTTTCGTCAATCAGCGCCTGTTTGTCTGAGATGGCAGCATAGCGATGCTCCTTCAAGTGACTGATCTCCTCATCGCTGATGGGTCTGGAGCAATGACGGGAGAGAGAGTTGAGTTCAGAGTCTCCATCAACCAATCAAAATCTATCTGACCTCATGCTATGTGAAGCACTGATCTGAGAGGAATGTGACTAATTACAGTCCTAATTTGGTCATTAAATGGCTAGTCTTGGCTATCTGTTCCACTTTACTTATCCAGGCCAAGAGCCGACCACTTTGACAGGAAAAGAAAGGTTCACCATCAGTGAATATCCATAGTTCCTTTAAAGGGGTTAGTGAACCCAAAAATACCATATCATCATTTACTCACTTTCTCAAAAGAGTCAAGATTAAATATTATCATACCTGGGGCAGCTTTGTGAGCTCTCACCCTGAAAAAGACGACAAAAGTCTTGACGTCTAAGCAAAAGTGGAATATTGTAAAATCATGAGTGTGGTACTGTAAGTGTGCCCTCACCTCATCGCTCTCCACAAGGTTCTCAAACTGTAACAGAGCGCACAGAAGTCACTCAAAATGCACAGAGTTGAGAATATTGTATAGTTTATATAATCTTCAGTTTTAAATTATGATGAATGTACCTCAACGGTATAGTGTTCCCCAGCTGTGCTGCTTCTGAAGTACTTTGACCTATTGGCAAAACAAGCAGTAACCAGCCATCAGGCCAGGCAGGTTATACGTGAGGTAGCACTTTCAAAAAATTGTGAGATTCTATTCTGAGAAGCATCAGATGGAGACTTTGCTTCTCCAAACAATAATAGTAATAATCAAAGACTTTATAGACAAAATATATATATATAAAAAAGAAATAGTGGGTATAAAATATGCACTGTACTATTTTAGATCTACTATACGAATTCGAATATAAATAAATAGCAAACGATGGCACAGGATGAAGTCCCAGGGATTCACAAGAGGACTCTGGGCGGGGTCCTGAGGTCAGACATCAACATAAGTCTGAATCATTCAAGCGAGTCGGTTCGTTTATAAAATGGATTGGAATCATCACTCATAAGTGTGAAATGAAAAGGTTCCTGTGTTTATGTCATTGTTATGTATTCAGTAAATGGTGTAATAAGCAAATATGTGTAATTACATACTTTAATCACAACATGAGTCGCTGTTCTTCCAAAGAGTCAAGTGAGTTACACACACATTGAATCAAGTGAATCATTAGAAAGAACCGTTTGAAAAGAACGATTCGTTCACGTAATGAACTTCACTAATGTAATGGAGCTGCTATCAGTTGCATTCTACTTACCCAAACTCTGCGCATTTAATGTAACTGTAAAGCTGTACTAATAGTCAACTCTTTTAAACGGCTGTTCGATTGTTTTCCAATGCAATGCACCTGACAGCCGGCGAATTATGCTGCCAAAGATCACAGATACCATTTTTAAAAATTCATCATCGATAACAAGCCCCATGCACGACTCACCCTCCTCCTCTCTGTATCCTGTTTGCTTCCCTTCTAAAGAGCCCAAAACATTGAGCCCAGCAGTTCCCCATGGCATGCACGAATCAGGTGTAGGTATCAGCTACTCTTCCATTCCGGATCCATATGCTGCTTCTTTGCGCACTGCTCTGGACGCGACGAATTTATTCTGCATGACTTGCACAAGCGCGAGCACGCGGCCGGTTCACGCAGGTGAGTCACCTGCGGACACGTCGCTCGCGCAGCGGCATCATGCATCCATGGCTCGCATTCTCAGCTCTGGCCTAAAATCCTCTATTGTTTCTTCTTCCTGACAACTCATACATGTGATTCATGTTTAAACTACGGCAAGTCGCGAGGTTCAAGTGCTGTAATGACGTTTCCGAAACACTGGAGGCCGACAGAAGACGTACCAAACGTGGTTCTTCATCTTCTTCTTCTTCTTGTACGATTTAATGGCGGTTGACAAGCCAACTTATGGTGTATTACCGCCACCAACTGGACTGGAGTGTGAAGTATTAACGGGAAGGAGGGAAAAGAGGGAGGGGACCCACACAAAAAAATAACTCCTCTCTTTCTTTGGTATACTGCACAATGTAGAAGTACATGCTCAATAGTCTCTGCTTCACTGCATGTAGTAGCCTACATAATCCTGACTGATGTTTCCCTATTGTGAATAATGAATGATTTAAACCAGAATGTCCTATTCAAAGTCGAGTAATAATGATGTCTTCTTTTCTATTGTTAAAGCATATTCTCACTTTGCCAACTTGTTTTTGGATATTGTATAGGTGTCTGCCCTTTAAATCCTTGTCCCACATTTCCTGAACCTTTTTATTCATGTGTTATTTAATTCTTCCTTTTATTTCTACTTTACTCAGTGGAATTTGTACCTCAACGTTCATATGTTTCATTGCTAGTTTGGCCAGTTTATCGACTATTTCATTTCCTTGTACTCCTACATGTGCAGGTACCTGTAGGAACCTCAGGACTATACCAATTTCCTGAATCCTAAGCAGATTTATAAGTACTTCATAGATTAAATCCTTTATTGATGTTGATTGTTCACTTATTAAACTATTTAAAGCTGACAAGGAACCTGAACAAATGACTACCCTTGTAGGCTGAACTTCCTCCACCCATTGAATAGCTAATAAGATTGCTATTAGCTCTGTTGTAAAGACTGATACATACACTGAACAAAATTATAAACGCAACACTTTTGTTTTTGCACCCATTTATCATGAGCTGAACTCAAAGACCTAAGACTTTTTCTATGTACACAAAAGGCCTATTTCTCTCAAATATTGTTCACAAATCTGTCTAAATCTGTGTTAGTGAGCACTTCTCCTTTGCCGAGATAATCCATCCACCTCACAGGTGTGACATACCACACCTGTGAGGTGGATGGATTATCTCGGCAAAGGAGAAGTGCTCACTAACACAGATTTAGACAGATTTGTGAACAATATTTGAGAGAAATAGGCCTTTTGTGTACATAGAAAAAGTCTTAGGTCTTTGAGTTCAGCTCATGAAAAATGGGGGCAAAAACAAAAGTGTTGCGTTTATAATTTGCGTGTAATTAGTTATCCTTTTCTGAATGTTGACTTGTAATCTTTGGATATATACAGCTGCAGCTGAATTTCCTGATGTAGGATCTGTAGAACCATCTGTGAAGACATGGAGCATTGAAGAGTAATTTTGATCTAGATATTGTTGAACAATAACCTCCTTATAACCTCAATATATAGTTTTCTCATTCTTAACCATATATTGTAGATTAAAATCTACTTGAGGCATAGGAAGCAACCAAGGAGGAATATTCGGTATTACAACAGAGGGACTAACTGAGATTTCTGTAATACCCAAAATCGTAGCATCTCTAGTTGCTGTCCAACCAAAACTTTTTATTTTATTTTTCCCATATTCCCAGCAATCCTTCAATATGTCCTTTACTGGATGTAATTCTGAACGCCCTTTTACATTTATCCAATAATTCATAGTTAATTGCAATTATCGTAAACTTATAGGTATTTCTCCCACCTTGTCCAACCAAAACTTTTTATTTTATTTTTCCCATATTCCCAGCAATCCTTCAATATGTCCTTTACTGGATGTAATTCTGAACGCCCTTTTACATTTATCCAATAATTCATAGTTAATTGCAATTATCGTAAACTTATAGGTATTTCTCCCACCTCCACTTGTATGGCTGATATTGGAGAAGATCTGAAAGCTCCACTACATATTCTTAACAGTTTCTACTTTTTTAATCAAGGATTTAGATGCAGATCCATAAATTATGCATCCATAATAAATTGCTGACCTAATCAGTGCACTATATTCTTTGTAAAGATTTCCTACTAGCTCCCCATTCCATTCCTGTTAGACATCATAGTATATTATTACTTTTTTTGCACTTATCTACCAACTTCTGAATATGTATTTTAAAGGTCAACCTGGAATTCATCCATATTCCTAGATATATTATATATCTTTAACTTGTTCAAGTACTTGTCCGTATAACTTCACTTTTATTTCAGGGATATGATTCCTCTTCGTAAAACAGATTAGTTGAGTTTTAGTCACCGATAGTCGAAAACTCAATTTGTTAGCCCATTTTTCCACTTCATTAACCGCTGATTGTATAACTCTTGTCACATGAGATACATTACGA